ATCCAGCAATAGGAAGGTTTACCACAACTTGAAAATATAATTTCTCTCAGAGTTTTATTATATTTAACAATCAACATCTTCATGAGCATATTCTCAGATGAAGCATAATATTTGGTGTAGAAATCAATTTACACAGTCTGATTTCAATTTTGTAAAAATAGGTGTCAAGATGAAACTCTAGAGTATCCAAGGGTCTTATTTTTATTCTGGAGTTTCTTTCCCTGCTCCTCTTTTCTCATGACTCGGGCATCAGTGGGGTATTTCTATAGTCACTGCCCCCAGGGTAGGGTTATTACTTTAGAAATGTAGAGAGAATGAGCCAAGTCAGTGCTTAGTACATGCAATTCAAAATAGATCTCTGTGCTGGAGGAAAGTTGCTGGTCAGACAGAGGGGGCCTTGGGACTCCTGGAGGGAGGATGGAAGGATGTAGAATTATGGAGAACATGGAGAAAAATATTTCAGGTGCCATCACAAGGAGAATGGTGGCCAAGAATAAGAGAGAACCATGTGTTTTTCAGTGGATGCCCACTGGGAGCCAATTATTACTCTCTTCAAGGCTGCAATATTGTCCAAACCACACAAAACTCAGATGCCATTTCCAGATGAAGGATGGGGAGGGAAAAATTCTGAGAGATTTCTGAGTTTATACAGAACTGACTTTTCTTCCCCCACAAGCTGGAATGAAGGTTGGAAATAGGTTTAAGCAGTCTTAGAGAAAGATAGTTATGGATTTTTAACATACCTTGGAACATGGATTTAGAAATTTGTACCTGATATATATATATGCTTATACATATATATGTTTATGTATAGCTACCTACAGCCATGTCAATATTTACATGTAAGTCTTTAGAAAAAGTGCTAAAAAGGGAATCTAGAATATTAGCAGAATATCTTTGTTGTGGGGTTATGGATGATTTTTATTTTCTTGCTTTTAATTTTTTGTATTTTCCAGAAATTCCACAATAAGCAGGTATGAAGTTCATAATGTAAACATTATTTTATTATTATTACTATTATTATTTAATTATAGTATCAAAGGCTAATGACAGTCTGAGAAAACTATTTATAAATCATAATACAGACCAAGCTTTTATTTTATTTTATTTTCAAGCTTTTATTTTCTAATTCACAAAGCATTCCTATCAACCAAAGTAAAAAGACCAACGACCCAACAGAAAAATGGGCAATGGATACAAAAAGACAATTTATATAAGAGGGAACATATATGGAATTCAAGCACATGTAACATTGCTTAATTTCACTCACAATAATAGAAGTGCAATTTAAAATGATTGTCAGATCCTATCTTTCTCCTATCAGATTGGCAAGATCACACTTTTTTCTTAAAGATTTTATTTATTTATTTATTTATTTATTTATTTATTTATTTATTTATTTATTAGAGAGAGAGAAAGAGAGAGAGAGAATGAGCAGGAGAGTGCTGGGAGGAAGAGGCAGAGGGAGAAGCAGACTCCTTGCTGAACAGGGAGCCCGACGCAGGGCTCAATCCCAGGACCCCGGGATCACCATCCAAGCAGAAGGCAGACGCTTAACTGACTGAGCCATCCAGGCTGCCTCCACAAACTATGATTACAAGTTGTGTTGGTGAAGTTTGAGGAGACAGATCCTCTCACAGATTGCTGATGGGAGTGTAAGTCTTACAACTTTTGTAAAGGGTGATAGGCAATATCCATCAAAATTACAAATGAAGGGGATCCCTGGGTAGCTTGGTGGTTTGGTCCCTGCCTTTGGCATGATCTTGGGGTCCCGGGATCAAGTCCCACATTAGGCTCCCTGCATGGAGCCTGCTTCTCCTTCTGCCTGTGTCTCTGCCTCTCTCATGAATAAATAAATAAAATCTTTTTAAAAATTACAAATGAAAAAATCAATGAACCTGCAATTTCTCTTCCAAGAGTTTACGGGAGGGATGTAGCAAGATACGTGTAAGTACACAGTTACATGAGGGCAAAATATTTAAAATTAAAAGTTCATAATAGCAAGATATTGGAAATAGAAACAAATGTCTTTCAAAGAGAATTGGTTAACTAAGTTATCAGTACAATAGATGACTCTGAAGAACTTTTTGATGTACTGATATGGAATGAGCTATAAGATACTTTGTTAAGAGAAAAAAAAAGAGTTAAAACCAGTCTGTATATTATGCTACTATTATACCTGCTATCGTGTGTGATGAACAAAAATATATCTATACATCTGTTTTTCTTGTATATAAATAACAGCTGACATTTATCAAATAACATGTGCCCAATATACTGTTCTAAGTACTTTATATAACTCATTTAATGTTGAAAACGGTCCTTGAGAGTGGCACTCTTATTATCATAATCACCATTTTATAGATGAGAAAATTCAGGCACAGAGGGGTGAAATGAAATTGAGAGCAGAGGAGAGGGTGGGTCAAAGGCAAGAGAACTGACTGGTGGACACAGAAAGAGGAGAGAATTTGCACTGCACACTTTTCAGGGCCTTTCTGATGGGAATGCATCACCTATCATTAAAAGAATGAGAGGCACCTGCGGTGGCTCAGTCAGTGAAGCATCTACCTCTTGATTTTGGCTCAGGTCATGATCTCAGGGTCGTGGGATGGAGCCCTGTGTCGGGGTCCATGCTCAGCAGGGAGGGTGTCTGCTTGAGATTCTCTCTCCCTCTTCTCCTCCTGCACCCTCTCTTTCTCTCTTTCTAAAATAAATAAACAAATCTTAAAAAAAAGAATGAAAAGAATGTGTCTATTGCGGATATCCCTGTATTATATTTACCCAGAGGTGTCCATCTGTGGATGTGGAATGATGGAAGCAACACTGGACCAGGAAACAGAACATCTGGGCTACGAAGCCACTCTGTCATTAATGTGTTTTCTCTGGGCCATGGTATCAACCTCTGCAGGGAAAAAAAGGGCTTAGGGGTGATGGTCATGGTGGCATTAAATTCTATCAGTGTTTCGTTATCTATTTGAGAATTTGAGTCATCTGGGAAACTTTAGAACATATAGCTTCTCAAAATCCCATCAGCACATAAACTGATTTAACAGGAAGAAGTACAGGTTGGGGGGCTTTGCATTTTTCAAAAGCCTCTGCCTTAGGCCATTCTGAGTAAAATCAGGTTTAGAAACCCTGCCCTGGACCACATGATCTCTTCCTCCCAATTTTAAATTTCCACATCCCATGAAGTACCGAGCATCCTATCAGATACAAGCGACCCATCATCTGCCTCACCCTTCTCAGTCCATCTAGCCTATCTTAGAGGCTGCCTTACCTCCAGGCCCATATAAAAGGAAAATGCAAATTAAAATGGAAGGACTGTGTCTCCTGATCCAGATCTCCACACCCACTGCCATCTTCCATCCCCACCTCCCACTCCACCCTCTTCTCTGGGTGCTGCCTTCCAAAGGCTGAACCCTAGTCTATAGGATTGCCATTACCATTCCAAGAGTATGACAAGATACCAAACACAACACGGAGATAGGAATTTTGACCTGTCTCAGAGTTTACACACGGACCTGAATCCTTCGTGGATCCTAACCTCTTTCCAAAGGCATTTTGTGCCCTGCGGTGGTACTCTGGGTGTTTCCTATGCTAATCTCTCATTCTGCTAGTTGGTCTATAAAGTTGGAGGTCTTAAAAAAAAAGTGTACAATGTTCCCATCTTTATGTGATGGTTTGAATAGTCAATGATCTTTCTTCCTTCCTTCCTTTCTTCTTCCTTCTCCTCCACCTCCCCTCCTCTATCTCCTTCCATCAAGGAAAGGGTTCTGACCACTGCTCTTCTTTTTTTTTCTTTTTTCTTTTCGATGTTTCTAGCAGCAATGTCCACAATAGCCAAACTGTGGAAGGAGCCTCAGTGTCCATCGAAAGATGAATGGATAAAGAAGATGTGGCTTATGTATACAATGGACTATTACTCAGCCATTAGAAATGACAAATACCCACCATTTGCTTCAACGTGGTTGGAACTGGAGGGTATTATGCTGAGTGAAATAAGTCAATCGGAGAAGGACAAACATTATATGGTCTCATTCATTTGGGGAATATAAAAAATAGTGCAAGGGAATAGAGGGGAAGGGAGAAGAAATGGGTAGGAAATATCAGAAAGGGAGACAGAACATAAAGACTCCTATCTCTGGGAAAAGAACTAGGGGTGGAGGAAGGGGAGGAGGGCGGGGGGTGGGGGTGACTGGGTGGCGGGCACTGAGGGGGGCACTTGACGGGATGAGCACTGGGTGTTATTCTGTATGTCGGCAAATTGAACACCAATAAAAAATAAATTTATTATTTAAAAAAAAAAAGACCACTGCTCTTCCAGCCTACTTAGAGAGGAGTGTGAGTGTTCAGTTCACCATAAGGCCAAGGGAGAATGTGGCTCCCGCCTCTTGCAGTTTTATGATGAGTCTTTCTCTATTTCACAAGGCAGTTATTAATCATGACTGATGCTCACTGACCAAGCCCAAACAATTGTGTGGCACACTCCACATACCACACACAGTCACAAATGTTTGCTTTGCTCACATGGGCTGGCATGAGGATGCCATTTCCGCCCGGGAGGAGCCACCAGACCAGACCTCAGATAGCAGCTTCTGCCTGCGGCAAGAGGCACGGGCATCCAGGTTTTACCATTCTGATTTTCCAGAATGAGCATTCATAATCAGAGGGGTCGGCTGCCAACTTGCCAACAGAGGAGATGTGGAAGGGGAGCACCCATTCCAGAACCAGAATCCATGGCTCTTTCCAACCTTGGCTAATGACGGCTGGCCCATGTTTGGCCTGATGACAGGTCTTTTCGAAGATGTATTTTTACCCTCTGGACAAATAGCAGTTGGGCCGAGTGGGGCTTTTTTATGAGTTGAGGTACTCAGAGCTGGAAAATAAACAGGCGGCTAATGAGACGTTCTTATGGAAACTGGCATAAATAATAACAAAGGAAACATCCTGTCCCCTGTGCCAACACCCTCCGGTGAAGGGCTATAAAAGCTGCTGGCCTCTGGCCACCGTCAGACGTGGGGAACTCCGGCCGCGCTCCTGACCTGCCACCTGACCGCCGGGACCATGGGGTGCTGCCCAGGGGACTGCTTCACCTGCTGCCCTCAAGACCAAGACTGCTGTGAAGTGTGCTGCTGCCAGCCCGCCTGCTGTGGTTGCTGCGGTTCCTGCTGCGGCTGCTGCGGTTCCTGTTGCGGCTGCGGGGGCTCTGGCTGCGGGGGCTCTGGCTGCGGAGGCTGCGGAGGTGGCTGCTGCGGGTCCTCCTGCTGCGGCTCTGGCTGCGGGGGCTGCGGCTCTGGCTGCGGGGGCTGCGGGAGCGGCTGCTGCGGGTCCAGCTGCTGCGGCTCGTCTGGGTGCTGCGGGCCCGTCTGCTGCCAGCCTACGCCTGTTTGCGAGACCAAGTGAAGCCCTCTGCCCCCTCCGCGGAGGTGGCCCAAGCAAAGCCTCCACTTGCTGCAGGTGGAGACCCCTTGTCTCCAGGACATCCCTGGCTCCCAAGACAGCGTCCTGCCTCCGTGTTATTTGTAGACGAGGGCTTGTTCTCCCAACGCCTGCCCTGGTATTTCAAGGCCTTGAGAACAAGAGCCATATGCTTGTGAGGAATGGAAGCTGGGTCCCATCCAAAGTGATCCCCGAAGCTCACAGGGTGAATCCCCATGGCTTTATTTTCATGGACTTAAATGTCTTGTCACTATAAGACATCGTCTTACTCAAGGTGGCTTTGGGACTGACCCTCCTCCTCAGCTTTCTGCTGCTTTCGAGTGCAAAATTTTCTCTTTGTTAACTTCTTAATAAATTCGAGCTTGCTGGCATAACTGAATTAGTTCTCCCGCCTCTTCCTTGGCTCCCTCTTGGGCACTGGGCCAGGAAAATTTACTCTGGCATCTGAAGTAGTTTTTTTTTTTTAAGATTTTATTTATTCATGAGAGATACATAGAGAGAGGCAGAGACATAGGCAGAGGGAGAAGCCGACTCCTCACAGGGAGCCCCATGTGGGACTCAATCCCATAGTTGGGATCATGCCCTGAGCTGAAGGCAGATGCTCAATCACTGAGCCACCCAGGTGTCCCTGTAAATGGATTTTTAAAATGTGGTTTGTGGACCACTTGCATCAGAATCACCTGGGAGCTAGTTAAAATGGAAATTCTGGAGCTCTCCCCGAGAAAGGCAGAATCAGAATCCACAAGGGTGTGGCCTGGCAATCTGTGTTTTAAACAAGAAACCCAGATGTAGACTAAAGCTTCCATGTACTGCATGAGATTCACTTGGGGAGGTTTAAAAAATACAGATTCTTAGGCGTCACTACAGAGATTCTATCCTTTAGCTCCAGGGTGGCAGCCCTGGGATCTGCATTTAAAAAATGCAGTAAATGGTCAAATGCTGAGGCTGGCCAAGGTTTAATCTTGAGCAAGGGGCATGCCTTCCTTCAGCATTATAGCTCTCCAGAATGGTTCTGCAGGAGGGCTTCAGGTTTGGTCAGAACTTTCTGGCAAAGTCGGGAAGAGGCTTTGGTAAAACAAGCTTGCTTTGGAATGGAAAAAATTCCTGTGGCAGAACTTTGTGAACCCAGTGCCTATGAATGTTCTGGGGATTCCAGTTCTTTCTTCTAGCCAAATGCTTTGACAAAGTTTCCCTCTTCTGGGTTATGTTGTCTCATTCTGCAACCAGTTTTATCTCTTCTGCTTGAGTCCCAGGGATGAGAGGGGTGAATGTCCATCCTCTAGGTGGGGCCTAAGCCAGGCGTGTTTGAGTCCTGCTGGAAGGTTAAAATTCAGAAGACAGTTGATTCGACTTCTTGCTGAACATGATCTTAAGCTACATGCGTATAAAATTAATTTTTCTCTTGCCTCAGGAGAAAAATATTTATTTTTTATTTCTGCAAAGCAATATTTCATTCAACAAACAAGCAAAAATATATTTTTTGATTGTAAGCATGGTAATGATCTCTAAAAATATGACAAAAAAACCCAGAAAAATATGAAGAAGAAATAACAGCTACCTGGATTCTCAACTTCACCTTCAGCATTTATTACTGACATAGATGTTTCCAGATTCCTTTCTAAGCATATTTACAAATAAAACTGGGATTATGCTATTTTTACATTTTTCCTTTAAAAATTTTTGTTTTTTATAAACCAACTTTATTAATGTATACTTCATATATAATAAAGTACACATAATTGTAGTGTATAGTTTGATGAGATTTGACAATTGTATATTCTTAAATAACCACCATGACACTCAAGATATAGTACTTTCCATCATGGGATACCTGAGTGGCTCAGGGGTTGAGCATCTGCCTTCAGCTCAGGTCATGATCCTGAGGTCCTGGGATCAAGTCCCACGTCAGGTTCCCTGCAGGGAGCCCGCTTCTCCCTCTTCCTGTGTCTCTGCATCTCTCTGTGTGTCTCGTGAATAAATAAATAAAAACAAATTTAAAGAACTTTCCATAATTCTTCAAATATTTAGTGCCCCATTTGCAGGTAAACCTCCCCAATTCTGGTCCTAGCCTCAGGCAACCATTAATCTTTTGTCACCATAAATTTTGCCATTTCTAGTATCTCATATAAATGAAATCATGCAGTGTGAACTCTTTTCTACTTAGAATAACATTATTTATATTCATCCTTTTTGCAGATATCAATAGCTCATTCCTTTTAAAAAATATTACATTGTATGAATAAAGTACATGAAAAAGTTCATATACTGATGGGAATTTGGGTTGTCTCCAGTTTTTGGCTATTATGAGGAAAGCTGCTATAAACATTCATGTATAAATTTATGTGTGGACTTATGTTTTCATTTATTTTGGATGAATACTTAGGTGTTGGGGGGCAGCCCCGGTGGTGCAGTGGTTTAGCACCATCTGCAACCAAGGGCGTGATCCTGGAGACCCGGGATCGCGTCCCACGTCAGGCTCCCTCCCTGGATCCTGCTTCTCCCTCCGCCTGTCTCTCTCTCTCTCTCTCTCTCTCTCTCTCTCTCTCTGTATCTCTATGAATAAATAAATAAAATCTTAAAAAAATACTTAGGTATTGGATTGGAAGATAAGTAGTGTGAGAATATTTAACTCTATATATATATAAAAAAACCTACCCAACTGTTTTGCAACAGTTTTGCCATATCATTTTGTATTCCCACCAGCAATGTCTGAGAGTCTCAGTTGCTCCACGTCCTTACTAACACTAGATATTGTCAATCTTTTTATTTTTAGCTTTTCTAGCAACTATATAGTGGTGGCTTATTGTGTTTTCTTTTCTTGGTTTCATTTAAAAACCCAGCAATATTTGTAGTGTCTTACTTGGGAGACAATTCTGCTTTGGTTCAGTTTCAAACTCTACTATTTAGGTCATTTTTGCTCTTGTTGGAATTGGCCTCTTAGGAGCTAGCGTTTTAGGGGTGACTGGGTGGCTCAGTCAGTTAAGCATCTACCTTTGGCTCAGGTCATGAGCCCCAGATCCTGGGATAGAGTCATGGGTCAAGCTCCCTACTTAGCAGGGAGTCTGTTCTCCCTCTCTCTGTACCCCTCCCCCTGCTTGTGCTCTCTATCTCTCTAGAAAATAAATAAATAAAATCTTAAAAAACCGTCACCAAAACCAGCTCTTTTAACTCCCAGAACAAAACCACAGCCAGAACATGAACATGCTAATAGGACAAAATTGCCAAGAGACTGATAGGTCTGCATTGAGTAGTTGTAATTCAGAGTAGTTGATTCTTCTATTACTCATGGTCATGGTTTCATGGTTTCCCAGATGGGTGAAGGCAGGGTAGTGATTTCTTTGATAAAGAGATGCCCTTTTTAAGGGGGTCCTCATTCTTTCATCAATAAATATTAATTGTGAACTGCCTATATATCAAACATTGCTCTGGGTACTGGGTATGTATCAGTGAATACACAAAATCCTTGCCCTCATGGTACTTATATAATGTTAAGGGAGATGAGACCTTTAACAATAAAGTAGAAATGGGTTTGATTGTTAAAAGATCTGCTTATTCCATGTAGCAAGGAGGGATTCTTTGAGATGACATTCCAGCATAACAGATGATGCCATGGTAAATTTCTCAGCTGAGAGAATTTATAAGGGACTTGTGGGAGGAAGGCCATCTCCATGTGAATTTCATTGTTGGCTTAGCTGAGGAAGAGAAAGGTGGAGATTAGGATCTTGGGAGCTCCTTCTCTGCCTTACCTTTTGCAAAGTTGTCCAAAAGTCTTCTTTTCCAACTGCCTGAGAGCTACATCTCAATAATGACACTCTTTGTTTCTAATCTTCCACTTTCAACCACTAGATCTATTGATTCTGCCTCTTTAGAACCTCTCACATTGCTCCAGGCTCAAGTCACTGCCCAGTCCAGGTTGTCACTATGAAGGTTTTGAGTAATTGCTCCAGACTCCTAATTGTCTCCCTGGCTCCAGATTTGCCCTTCTCCAATCCCTTCACCACAGCCAGAGAGGTCTTTACAAAGGGAAAATGTGGTCAAGTTACTCCCCTATTTAAAGCACCCAGTGTAAAATCAGTGTAAAGTCTAACTACTTATCATGGTCCACAAGGCCTTTTCAAGACTGCGTGCCTAGTACCCTTCTATTCCCATCGCTGTTCCTTCCTGTCTCCTTGTACCTTTCATCCTGGCTATGGAACAATTTACTGCCCCCAAATATATCATGCTTTTGAGGAGCCTTCCCTAATTTCCTACAAACCATGTTGGTCTTTCTCTGGGTGCCTCCATAGGAACCTGTGCATCCATTCCATCCGTCATAGCACTTGTACATATACTGTACCATAATTACTTATGGATGTATCTGTCTCTTTCCTAAATTTGGACTTCTTGAGCCATGAATTGCAGTTTGTGCTTTTTTGTATCCCTCACACAGAAACATATGATGGCTATATTGAATGGATGAATCAAAGAGAAATCTAGTAAATTATTGCATAAACCAATGAATGAAGAGAGAGATGGTGAGTGGATGGCACAATGGTTTAGCTTTTCTAAGGGAGAGCCTGTACTTTGCATTGGTGTTGAAAGCACACAGTAGAGGCAGGCCTTTACTAAGTAAGGATATCAGGCCTTGGTGTTCAGAAACCTAGAGTATGTTTCTTCTCTCACGTCTGTCTCAAGTAGTATCACTGACATGCTTTGAGAAAGCATTTGTGTTCTTTGTTTTCATTCACAATGTCTTTGCAAAAGATCTCTTGTCTTTCCTATCCTTTGGGTCTTGGAAGTGTCTTTCTTTTAAGAGCTATTAAAATCATCAAAATCAAGAGGGATTCTTTTTTTTAAAGATTTTATTTATTATTAGTGTATTTTTTATTAGAGTTCGATTTGCCAACATATAGTATAACACCAGTGCTCATCCCATCAAGTGCCCCCCTCAGTGCCCATCACCCAATCATCCCATCCCCCTGTCCACCTCCCCTTCCACTACCCCTTGTTCATTTTCCAGAGTTAGGAGTCTCTCATGTTTTGTCACCCCTCAAGAGGGATTCTTGAGGGCCACTGAATGCTAGAAGAGTCAGTGGGTGCAAGGAAAAGATGGAAGAGAAGCAGAGAGGCTAGGATCAAGTGCTTTCTAGGGACAGGTAGAGCCAGTGGTCTGGGGCAGGGCTGTTCATAGAACAGGATGGAGGACAACACAGTGCACTGAGCCTATGACATGTGGTTTGACAAGTCTCCTAAGAAAGGTCAGACTATACAGGGTGGTGAAGAGGAAGGAGAGCAGCCCTAAAATAGGGAGCAAGCTGGGTGGGATCTTTAGCAAGTGATTTAAACTTTCTGATTCCACCTTCTCTTTCCTTCTTTACCTATAAAGGGGAGAGATGAATT